CTTATTAGCTTCTTCAATCTTGTTCATTTTGCAAAATCCACTTACAAGTGCATTATATGCAAACACATCTGGTTCACCAAACTGCTCCAGAATTTGCATTACTTTCACCCCTTTATCCGAATTTTTCGAGTTGAAAAACCCCTTAATCAGCTTTGTACACAGAATCACATCAGGTTTATAACCACTCTTCACCTTACATTCAAGTAAATACAATGTTTCATCATATTTGCCTACTTTACATGACCAATTTAACACTTTCATATCATGTGAACCTCTATTTTCACTAGAAATTTTCACCCTTTGAGGATTTCTAATATTTACTCTACTCTCCTCATTGCTAATACTACATCTTACAACAAAATTATGCTTTGAAGATTCACTTTTTGGCTTCAAATTATTGGAGAAAAAGGGACATTGATGAGGAAGAATAATCCTCGTCATTTAGTCTAGTCGTATCAGTGAGAGTCTCTCAAACACGAAATCACAATAACAAAAAATCACGCCTCGATCCCAAACAAGTTTAGAGTTAGTTAATACAAGACTTTCCAAACCCCCTTAATACAACTAAGCCTCGATCTCAAAAAAGTTAGAGTCGGCTACATAAACATTCGAGACAAATCATATTTAAATTGAATTAAGAAAGAAAAAAAAAGTACCTTTGGTTCTTGTTTGTAAATGTGAGAAAATTGAACATGAGCTATGGACTTGAAGTATGAATGATAAAAAAAAAAATTAAAATAGATGTTAGTATTTTTATTTTATTTTTTGTACATCTCAAAAAATAAAATTTATAGATTTTTTTTGGATAACATAGTAAAGTTCAGATAAGGCCACAAATGGTTAACCCATTGGATAAACCGGGTCGGTCTAGTTTGTGGCTTGTGCTTTTTTGAAGATGTCTAGTTTCTTGAATTAATTGGAAATGAGGGGAAAAAGACCGATATACCCTTAATTTTACGATTTACGAAAGTTATAGATGTATAGTTATATACCTTTGTCGTTTAACAAATGGTGCATATATATTTTTATCGTTTGACAAATTATACCTATTTACCCTTTTCACTAAGAAATTGAACAAAAAACTAATCATAGATTTTTTAGATTTAAAAATTGTCATGTGTTATTGACATATTCCTCGATCGTTTTATATAACCTACACACTTGATTCAACAAAAAAAAATTCTCTTTTATTCAGAACCTAATCGAAACTCATTAAATGACTGCGTAGAAGAGGAATTCATTTTTTTTATTTAAGTAGGATTTATCAGTTATATACTGTGATTTTATAAATAATCTTCTATGATGAATTTTTATTGCATTTGCGGTCAAGTCACCCATTTTCCCTTGATTTTTAAAGTTATATGGAGTGATATTGTAAATAATTTATATATAATCAGATTAACTTATGTTTGACTGTGATTTTGAGAAGTCAAAAAATGTGTATTATCGTTTAACCATAAAAATAATATTTACTTATTTAGTTTCAAATTGAGTTTTCAATTTATTTGGATATTGATGTTTGATCATGAAAATATCAAATCAAACTTGAAGTTATATTTCAAATGCGGCAGATAAATTTCATACTTAAAGTCATATTTAAAATACATACAAGCATAAATATTATTTCAAATATTTTTTGTAAAAAGTATAATTAAACAAAATTTCATCTTTAACTTTAACTTCATAAATTTCAAATAAAATAAAAAATATTTGAAATGTACGATCCATTACCAACTAAAAATTAAGAACTTTTTAGTCGCAAGATGAATTCCATATATAAAGCTGAAAAGAAAATTTACTTTTAGATATTGATCATATATAAATTATTGCTCTAATGTTTATAAAAATATTTTTAAATTAATTAATTCAAACACAAACTATCTGTAATACTATCATATTTAACTTGCTAAAACAATTATTTGAAAATTTTACACAACTATATTGCACAAGAATATAAACATTTTAGAGAAAAAAAATTTAAATCACATATTCACAAATCACAATAATAAATTTTCGAAGAAAAAAACACAAAAATAACTATTATTAGTGTCCTATGAATCTCAAACATTAATTTTTATTGTAAAATCACACACTCATACTCTTTAAAAAAAATTATATTTGTATTTGGTCCCATTTTATAAGTATGTTATTGTCTAAATTAAAATATGAAATATAGCATGTATTTTTTTAATTACAAAATAAATATAATAAAAGGGACAAAGGGATTTGTGTGACCTCAATATTTTATATTTCATAATAGAGGGTTACTTATTACAGAAAAAAATATGTTCTTATTAAAAATGAATTTTAAAATAAGAAATTAGTCCATAATTAGTTGACTTATATATTATATGGAGCAATTCTCAAAAGGGAATAAGTCAAAATATTATTCTAAGCGTGCATAATTTGTATTTTTTTTAATAATATTTAAGAAAGATCGAATGTCAACAATCGAAATCAATGAAAAATCTTAATAACTATTCCATTTTAACAATTTTCTTTTCAAAAATTAAAAACTTTAAAAATTCACATCTACTTAAATTAAATGATTACTAAATAATTATATCCACCTCATAAATTTTCATAATTATGTGATGTTAATATTCATGAGCATAATTTCTACTCAATTTTAGTAATTATGGTAAATATTTTCTTAAAACCTTAGAATTCTAAAATAAAAAATTTGATGATATAGTTATCATAATATTTTAACGCCCAAGTTTGAATTGTATTGTGATTTCAAGTACATGATTAGCCAAACTACAATTAGAAATAAAGATATAACTTTTGAAGTGACAAATATTATTAAAGATTGTAATGACATACCTCAAAAGAATGATAAAAGTCGTTTTGTGGGAATAGATTGTTTCAAAATTAATTATCTTTAGATAAGATATTTCATCTTATTTAAAATTTTGAGATAAATAACTCAAAAATTACTTAATATTTCTATTTTTATTATAACTTGTAAGAATTTAAGTTGTGATTCAATAGAAGGATGAAAATTGCACAAATTAGAGTTAGATGAGTTTTTTCTCAACAGGATCCACCAATTCACGAATAGTAATCAAATGCCTCAATGGTTTCTTCCGATAACTATTAAATTAGTCCGGAATTAAGGATGTAGTTTTGGTGTGAATCAATTTTCTTATGTTTGATTGGCTTTAATATTTTAAAACTATTTTCAAATCAATTTATTTTTCTCAAATTTTAGAAAAATAATTTCCCTTGAAAAAAAAGGTAAGAAAAAACATTTTCTGAACCAGTTCTCATACTCATATCTTCACCCCTCCCCCCCCCCCCCTTTATTTCATAAAAGTTTGTTTTTGAAAAATATTTTAAATTTTAAATATTTCACCTAACCCTCCTAATATTTTCGAGTCATGTTTTATTTTTCTAAAAAAATAATTTATATTCTCTAATAAAAGATAAAAGGTATTTTCTGAAAAATATTTTTTCATTCACCAATTAAACACTAAATTCATTTTCTATTCACTAACTAAAAAAAATAAATTAGAAACCAACTTATTTTGAAAAAAAACGACAAAACATTTTTCAAGGAAACACATTCTCCATCCTACCAAACACACCCTAAGAGTGGATTTTGGATTAAAAGAGAAACAGGTACAAATTAATTAAGTGTGTGTTAGATATTTTCTTTAGTAAAATTTTTGGCCGATTTATTTATTTGGTAGATATAAATTGGTGACATTACACGTTTTACTTATTGGTAATGTGAAAAAATGATCTATGAAAATCAATTATATCTTTTTGTTAATATATTAGTGATAACAAATGACATTAGGTTTGCAAATTAATGATTTCAGTTTGATTTAGAAGTTTATTAGCTTCACTTATTAATTATTGATTTGTGGATATGTTATATTGTTATAAGGATATTGATTTATTGGTTATTAATTGTTATTCGTTCAGTCATTAATATTCGACATAAAATTGAAAGTCAGTTAAAAATAAGGTGATAAATCAAACAAATCATGCACATGACAAATTGCATCTTACTCAAAAGCAACAACTGTCATATAGTAGAATAATCAAGAGTTTGAGATAACTAGATTGAATACGACATATTACAGAAATACACGTCTTTTGTTTCACTTATTTCTATTATTCTCTATCATTTTTAAAAATTTCCAAAATCCCTTATTTCTTGAATGTATTCAAACTAGTCTTTAATGTATCCGAGTTAGTATTTAATGTATTTGAGCTAGTTTTAAATGTATCCGAATTACATATTAATATATCCAAGACAATATTTAATGTATCCGAGCTAATATGTATTCGAGCTTCAATTATTGTATCAGCTTTTTTTAGAAAAAAGAAATAAATGTAACTAGAATTAAAATAAAGAGATTTATGTAATTTATTCCGAATAAGAATATGAAACTAAACTCTAAGCCAAGAAGTTCAGATACCAAAATAATATAAATGCAATTATTTAATTTGCTTAAGAACTGATTCAACTAATAATAAAAAGAATCAAAATTATTACTGAAACTGCTAAACCATAATAAGCTTTCTTCGGTACAAATTATCAGTTTCGATTTGATTTCGAACAAATTCTATATTTGTTAGGTTGTGGAGTCTGATTAATATTTGATTTACTGTCATATATTAACTGTTTACGCGGTTTAACCTCCGCGGTGAGGTTGCCAGGGAGTACCTAAATTTTAAGTTTTATTATTTATTCTTTGTAACAAAAAATACTTTGATTTATTAATATATATACCCCACCGCCGTGAAAGTTTACTCATTGATTTCTCTCTTTCTCTCTCTAGACCTGTCATCTCATTCTCTCTAGAGTTCTTGTGTTCTTTATTCATCAAGTGTGTGTGGATATTAATATAGATTGAGTCTTTCGTTAAAGTTCGACGACATATTTGAGCTACGCTGGTAACGAGAACATTTGTTCATGTGGTAGTCACGTGATGAATATACAAATTGTAATTTGGAGTCACCCTTGGGTGCTTCTTTTTTTGTGGATCATTTATTTACGTTTTATTATACTCTTCTCTCTTCTTCTACATCTCTTCTTCTCCTTTTTTTTCCCTTCACACAAACAAAACACAATACTTTGCTTCCAGGGTTTCGTTTTTCTCCTCTGTAAATTCTCTCCTCTCCGATCTCCGTCAATTTTCAATTTCGTGAACTTCCGATTCGCAAAGATCCGGTTACGTTTTTTTGGTTTTTTTTGGTTGTTTGGTGGCGGAACCCTAATTTTATCGGGATTTGGAAGATTTCATGCGATGCGAAGAGGAATTGAGGTTCGTTTAGGTGTTTGAAGATCTTGCGGTTTTGGTTTGGTTCGATTTGATTTGATTTTTGAAAAAAAAAGAAAAAAGAAAAGAGGTATCGCGATTCGCGATGGATGTGGATTTTAATGGTGATGTAGCGAGTTTGGATGCTGAGCTTTTGCAGTTACCTGAGTTGTCTCCTTTGGCTATTAAAACGAATCCTTTTGTTGCCGAGAAGCTATTTGATCAATGGCTTTCGCTTCCTGATACTGCCGCTTTGGTAATTTCCTTATTTTCTATTTTTGCGACTTTTTTTTTTTGTTGATGTAGTAGGAGTTAGCTGTCAAAATTTGAATTTGGATTTGCTTGTACCTAGGTATACTTATTCGGAGATGTGTCAACCTGTACTGTGTGGGAGTACTTATTGTTTTATAGGTTACCACTGGTTTGGCGGTGTGCTGTATAAGGAAAAAACTGATCTTGGTGTAATACCCTGCACTACTAATAAAATGATTGGCTTCCAGTATAAACTCTGCATTAATGACACCTTCAAAACTTATGGTGGAATGTAAATGTTGTTTTATGTGAGAGAAAATACGGGAACAATAGATGTATTTGCAATACTAGGATAAGAGTACATGAAGTGTCTAAAAATACCCTTAAAACTTTATTATTGAGATTGCTATTGCAATCTGACATAACAATATATGTAATATTATCCTATTTGAGGGCACTAGGTGATAAGACTTGGGGTTAGATTACCTGGTAGTTGTGCTAGTGGAAGGTATTATGTATGCGGTAGAATAGTTGAGGGGTGCAATAACGATCAAGCTGTCTTTACAACATGGTAAACTTCACATTAGAATCCGTATGAACTACCCATTCATTAGTTAGGTGGCTGTTTGGCATATCCTTTTATTTTTGTTGAAGCTACTTTATCGTTTTACCAAGAGGGTTTCTTATGCTGTGAGTATGCATTACTCAGAGCATCACTTTTTGGGGTTTTTTCCACTTTCATAGTTCAATTATATGCAGAATTCTGGGGGTTACATCTTTTAATAACTAGTGTAAATGACCTGGCTCACCAATTGGTACCGAAAGAGAGCGTCACTTCTCTAGAACATTACCTACAAATACAATTGTCTAGCTATGCCGAGAAAACTATGGTAGCAATCCATGAATTCTATAGTATTCACGTACAATCTCAGAGAATTTCTCTAATTCTCTCAGAGATGGGAAACCTACATTTGTCATTATCTTACTCCAAAGAAGGAATTGGACAGGTTATCTTTGTATTAACTATCAAGATAATTAGTTACCATTGGTAAATTTTTTTAAATTAAAATTAACTATCAAGATAATTGGAAGTGATCAAATCATGGTATCTTCATCCAGTTAGAATTTTCATTTGGTCGGTGAAGCTGTTGGGAACAGAACGTTTCTTTGGGTAAAAAACCTTAGTACTTTATCTAAAGTCTCCAAAATGTAAAAAGGAGCAGTGTTCTGATAAGTTCAGAGATGCTTCCTTATTCTTTGACCACTTCAGCTAGTGACAGCTTCTTTTAGAGTCCTTGAAATGACCAACTGGGCTCTGAAGTGATTAAGAAACCGGGAGAGAGGAAAGTAATGCAGGAACAGATGGTTTATGGGCTTGGCGGACTTCTCATACACCACTGCAAGTGATTACTACCTTTCCTGCAGTTTATGGATGGCAGTCCAACCAAAGCATACCACTTATAGTGGAGCTTTATCCTGATAAAAAATTTACCCTGATTTAAAAAGCTTTAGTGGGGCTTTAATTTTCTTGAAGATTCTCTTGATAGTTACCTTTCCACCATTTTTGTGGTAAGGTAAATAATTTTATTAACAATTTTGAGAACCTCGTATACAAGACATACCAAAAAAGGAGAACCTTGACCATCATATGGTTCTCAATAAAAGAGGTTCAATCCTCTACAAACATGAAGACCAAAAGGAAACTAGAGACAAAGAACTACTTTGCAGTTTTATAAAAGCTTGCTCCATTCCTTCAAAAAGGCCCCCTTATTTCTCTCTTTCCAGATAACCCACATGATGGCTGGGGGGCCACTCTCCTTCCCCTTGGGCCTTTCTTCCTTCTCATATGAGTCCAACTTTGAAAAACCTCCTTCATTGTGCTTGGCATCACCCATTGCATCCGAATTAAATTAAAGCACCATGACCTTCTCATTTCCCTTGGGAGCCTATACAATTGTTTACCCTAAACCTTCTAGAAGTAAGAAACGTCATAGTGCATGGTAACTTGTGAAGAAAATTTGGAACTTTCATTTTTGATGTAGTAAATTTACGTCATTAGTCTACAACAGGCAGAGTTTATTAACCAGTAAAATGCTGAAACAATGGAAATAGAAGGCTTTAAAACTTATTGGATGGAAAAAGATGAACTCTTGACATTCCAAAGGAAAAAAGTAGTCAGTAAAGTTAGGAGTCTTAAAAGGACAAGAAGTGTGCTATATCTTCAACTGTTACAACAACAACAACTTCCACAAGAAGTGGACCTCCAAATGCATCAACTGACACAGAGAATAAAACCAAATAAATAGTTCCAGATTGTTTGGTTAATGAACTGAATAAATTCCAAATGCATAAGCAAGTAGGTTCTATGTGATGATTGAAGGTGTTAAACTGCAATGAGATAGACTCCAAATTACTTAGATAAATTGTCTCGAAAAACCACTCTTATCAAAGGCTCGCTTAACACTGATGAGGAACAGAACATGTTGAGCGCTTCCTCCTTGCATCACGGGCACTTCAGTGTCATCGTCAATATTCAAGGCTACAAGTCATACTTTTCCTTGCCAATGAGCGTAATCATGAGGAGGTGGCACTGAACAATTGATATTTTACTTTATCGTAATCTTTTTTCAATTTCTTGTCCATATATTTGATATTTTTTATTACAAATTATTTGTCTTGGACTACACATGCATATTTTTATTTTTCCTCCATTTGTGCCTTTCTTCTTAGGCCCACGCTTTATTTGCGATTTGTGCTTAAAGCATCAATGGACCTTTGAGTTTTTTTGCGCTTTTCAACTTCGAAAACTTTTGGAAAATGTGTAATTTATAACCAGGAAAAGCAGTTTTAGCTAAGTATAGAACATAATGGAAGCAAAGCTATACGAATTATGGTTAAGCTTCTTTTTTTGTTGGAACACTTATATTAGGTCCTATGTTTTTCTAAAGTCGTTTTAGCATATGAGGGAAGGTCTGTCTGCCTATGTAGGTAAAAAGGTGATTTAGCGAATTTCTAGTTTTGGAGAACCTCTAACCTAACTTAGAAGACATTATTGAGTGTTGGAATGAATTGTGCTCATGTATAACAAAGCATATATAGGGTTTCTTATTGTTGACCTTGAATAGTTTGAGATCGACATGCAGTTTTTTTGGGTATAATACATAAATGTGCACTTTAACTTGGCTTCGAATCACATTTATGCCCTTCAACTTTGGGTGTGCACAAGTAGACACTTAAACTTGTATAAAGTTGTACAGATAAACACACATGTTCTATATGTCATCCTACATGTTATTTTTTGTCCTACGTGGTGTCCTACGTGTATTGTGCCATTTAGGACTCATGTGTTTATTTATTTAAAAGTTTGATAGTTAAAGTGTCTGTTTGTGCATTATGAAAGTTGGAGGTCAAAGTTAAACTTTGAAGCCATGTTTAGGGTCCAATATATATATATATTATGCCCTTTTTTTGGGTGAACTATAGAATTTTGATATGTTAATCCCTACCTACTAGTATGGAAGGATTACCAACCAAGAAAACATATACAGTTTTATGGCCTGACTTGTTAGACAAGTAGACCTTTGGATTAAATTATATTCTTAAAAAATCAAATTGCTTACTTAAGACTCGTAGATAGAGTGCGTTCACCATATAGAACTATAGAGAGGTACTTTATCGGTGACTTGTCTATCTCATCATAATGATATGCATAGTGCTTTTACCAAAACCATGTCTGGTGCATTTTATTCCTTTTCTCATTCTTTGTTATATTGCTGATTTCTATCCATTGGTAACAGAAAATATTTGTTTTCTCCACATGCAGGTGAAATCTTTGATTAAGAATGCCAAAGGTGGCGGTCCATTGAATGTGTCTACTACATCGTCTGGGACAAATGTCGTGGCAACTAATTCTTTGCCGTCCATGTTTCCTGCTGGAAGTACACCTCCACTTTCTCCAAGAAGCTCATCTGGTTCACCTCGAATCTCAAAGCACAGGGCTGGACCCTCTTCATTGGGGTCTCCTCTGAAATTAATTAATGAGCCTGCAAAAGAACTGATACCACAGGTATGGAATACCTAATTCTGATTGGATATTTTATTTGCAGACTGTTGAGATTGTAGTTGTGATGTTTTTTCGAAAATGCTTGTGATGGCAGTTTTACTTTCAAAATGGTCGCCCCCCTCCAAATGAATTGAAGGAACGCTGTTTGTTTAGGATAAACCAGTTCTTTTATGGTCATACTGATGGGCTACAAATGAATGGTAAGTTGTACTTTACGAATTGATTCTATGAAGGCTTCTGAGATGATAATGGATATGCTTGCGACCTTCTGAATTGATACTTCTTGTTCTTTGACTAAATCCACTTCAAATGTTTTCTTTTGCATAAAAAATGGGGTGGGGATAGGGGTTGGTCGATCTGTGATGGGATTTTATTCACTAAACAGTACCAACTAATTGCTAGTTAAATACAAAATCGCTAAAATGAACTGTCTCCCTTTCAACTGAAATTCATCATAGTATATAGTGCTTTGAGTTTTAAACTATGTGCTTCAATTCTTCCTTCAAAGCAGCATGAATCCTTTTTTCCCATACCACCCACAAGATGCATATTTTTATTCCAGACGTTCTTAATGTACAGTCACAAGAATTAGTTGCAGCGACATTTGTGCCAGAAAATGTGGTAAGACACATTCAATGGACCACCTACCTTTGACATTCTTAAGCCAAAATTTCACCTGCGTTTGGACAAAATAGATACTTCCTCTTGCCTGCTTGTATATGGTGGACTATATGGAAAGAGAGAAATGATGGATGTTTTGAAATAGGGACAACAACCTTCAGGAAGTGAAGCTTAAATGTATTTTGTTCTGTTTTTGGTGTACAAGTGTCTACTCCAATGAGACTGAGTCAATTGTAGATGGTTTAGGGTCCATCTAGTTCCTGGTTTAGCAATGGAAGGACTTCAATCTTTTTTCTTGTTTTTGTAAATATGGTTTTTCAGTACTACCTAAGTACTGACTGAAATACAATGTTAGGAAAAAAAAAAGAGATCAACAATCATGAAACAAGAGAAGGAATAAAATGCACCAGGCATGATTTTGGACCGGTACAGGGTTATATAAAGCACTATTGACAGCATTATGATGAGATAAACAGGTCACCAATTAAGTACCTCTTTATACTTGTATATTTATAGTACTTTACCCTCTAAATACAAATTAACTTACGATGAAAACAATAGAAAAAATATGTTTCTTGTGGGTGGCATGGAAAGATAACTATCCCTCCCTTTGAGCTTGTGAAGGCATCTTACAATGTTCTAGGCATTACCCACTAAACTTCAAACAGGCTTAGGAATATGTTTCGAGTCCACATGACTTCAGTGTCTTACAGAAAATTCTGTTCCCCACCCTCATATATGTAACATCTACCCAGTCAATCTGTGACAAGTTTACTGCATTGCAATCCAGCCCAAGCAGTGTATTCTAAAGATTGCCCCGAAGAGACATGGAGATGTTGACTACGTTATCCATAATATGTGGAACTATTGACATAGATTTGTTATTTATGACAATGAGATACCATCTATCAAAAAAGTTAAAGAGTTTTTTTTTTTTTAAAAAACAATTCGGCCATAATTGAAATCCCTGAGAATTGGAAACCTTATTTATGCAGACCAAAATTCTATTCAGGAGCCCTCTTGTATGTTGTTAACAAAGCCAAACCGATAAGAAGTTTCTTTCTCTCTTTTTCTGTTTTGCCTAATGTTTCACATGCTTCAGTTATCACATTATTTTGCTCTTGGTGCTATGTTATGCTTTCCATATTATTGCTATGACTTAGTTGCTATATCTTATTGACTGCTGTATTCGCTTTTGTAACTGCTTTGTTATGAGTTACTTGAGTCGAGGGTCTTTCAGGAACCTCTCTATCTCTCAAAGTAGAGGTAAGGTCTCCAAACACACTACCCTCCGCCGACCTCACTTGTTGGAATACACCGGGTATGTTGTTGTTGTTTTCACTTTAACCTTTTCATGTCCTTCACATAGATTATTCTTTATCAACTTCTTTTATTTCATCGGAACCTTCACCTTTTGAGTGGCATCTCATTCAAGTTAGTCCCCTGGAAGAATATTATTTTTGGGTTAAAGACTGCAATGTGGAAGCACTACATTGGAATAGTTGCTGCATTTTTTTTAAAAAAAATAGTAATGTTGTATTCCTCAGCATTAAGGGTATGCTGGTGACCTACATAAATTTTACATAGAGGGGCTCGGAAGGCTAATTCCAAAAATCCTAACATATCTACTAGTTGCTCTTCCTCTATACATTCCTGTTTACACCAAAAATACAAATATACAATGCAATTTTCTTTGACTTTCTGTATGGAGTTTGATTTGTTCTCATAGCATCTTCCATTTCTTTCCTTCCATACTGACAACCATATGTATAGTTGCTGCATTTTATTGGAATTTTGGAACTAGAGCAAATTGTTAAATGCTGAAATTTTCAATATTATTTATAATTTGCAAGTGTTGGGGTTATGCTGTTGGAATGAAGACACCTGATTAAAGAGCCCTTTGTTTATTTGTTGTGTATTTGAGTTATAACTAAACATTAATTTATTTTTCATTGGTTGTTAGAGTTTAAACCAATTACAAAGGAAATATGCAAGCTGCCCTCGTTCTTCTCCGCTGTCCTTTTTAAGAAGATCGATGTTGACGGCACTGGCGTCATAACCAGGTACATGTTTCTGTCTTTTTGAGTATGAAGATGATTCATTTACTTTGTGGATACACATCCCAAATCGGAAGTCCCAAATTCTAAGTGCAATCCAATATCCATCATCTTAAAATTTGAATCTGAGATTCAGTCCATAATCCTACAATTCAAACAGAAATCTCAAAAAATTGTATTCAGGTTCTGATTTCTATTTTCCCCAAACTATGCCACCTGAATCGCCTTAGGGGTGTGTTATATTTGAAATGAATATTTAAGTGGCAGAAAGAGAGCCCATGAAATGAAACCAAATGTATCAGAGTCACATGCAATGTGCCTGAGGCATTTCTGAATTGATGTGAAATATTTCTGGAGCGCTTGAGGAGTGAGTTGAAATGCAATTTGCTTCGCATGACTGCAGGGATGCCTTTGTTGATTATTGGATACACGGGAACATGTTGACAAAAGATATAGCAACTCAAATGTACACAATCTTGAAGCAGCCGGACCTTAGATACCTCGTGCAGGTGCTTTGTCTAGTTCCTGTTGATGATTAAAATTCCTTCTGATTTTCTGTGTCGTAATTCAGAAGATAATATGATTTTGGTTTGATTTATGATTCTGTGCGCACAAATCTTTTAAGGCACACTAAGGTTTTGTGGATTACTAGATTATCCTCTTCTTTTAAAATTATATGATGAGGATCCATATAGCTGTCCCCAACTTATTGGGACTCAGCGTAGTTGTTTGGAAAATAAATTGTCCTCTTCTTTCCAATGACTTCTATCAACTGGATTGCAGGATGACTTCAAACCCATTCTTCGGGAACTTTTGGCAACACATCCAGGGTTGGAGTTCTTACAGAGCACACCTGAATTTCAAGAGCGTTATGGTACCTTCTCAGTCTCACGTGCTGGATTCATTCTAATCTGCAGATCCATTTGTATTCTCTTGTTTCCTAAATGTTCCATTGTGTGTTGTATATTGTTTCTTTTGGGTCCATCTTTTATGTCATCTGATGCTTACATCATAAATGAACTTTTGAGATGGGTAGCAATTACAACATGTTTGACTTGCTTGTACTTGAAAAGCTGTTTCTTGTCGAAGACCTTTTAGGAAGATCTTTACAGGAATTCCTTTACTAAATAAGTATTCTACAACATCCCAGTTAATGTTTTTATTGAAGTCCTTGGGATTTTCATTACTTGCTCCCATTAAAGGAATCATCTTCCAATTAAATTTAGCCAACTTCTTTTGCTTCAATTTTCTGTCTTTTTATTTTTAGGACGAGTCTGCCTTCATTTTTCTTTCTGGCAGCAGACTATTTTCTTGACAGTCAATTTCGTTGCATTTGCCAGCTGAAACTGTAGTATACAGAATATTTTATTACGTAAATCGATCGGGTAATGGCCGTCTTACCCTCAAGGAGCTGAGACGTTCTGACCTTATTGCTGCAATGCAACATGCGGATGAAGAAGATGACATTAACAAGGTCCTAAGGTAATCCTTGCTTATAATATGGACTTGTAATAAATGCAAAATTTATTTGTGAGAAGTTCAAGAGACTCAGTTCTTTTACATCATTTGATATCATTTATTCAATATAGTTTCACCATGTAAATATTCAAATGTCTTTTCGGTTTACTTTAATTACAAGCATGTTTATGGGACACTGATTGTAGGAAATCATACGCTACAGGATGTGTCAAAAACAGATACGCGGAAAAAGGCATTATATGCAACTAGAATTGCAATAAATGCAAAATTTATTTGTGAGAAATTTAAGGGACTCCGTTCTTTTTACATGATTTGATATTATTTATTCAATATAGTTTCACCATGTAACTTTTCAAATTTCTTTTCGGTTTAGTTTAATAACAAGCATTTTTATGAGATAGTGATTGTAGGAAATCATACTCCATAGGATGTGTCAAAAACAGATACACTGAAAAAGGCATTATATGCCACTAAAATTGCAAAATTCTTTTTGCCACCCAAGTCTTGGTCTAGTGTTAAGAGTGTAGTTTGTAGTGTGGGTTAAGAGTGCACTTCATGGGTTTGGATCGTTCCATGGATAAAAGTCTGACATTGAATTCTGGAAGGTAGAGGCACGGGCTCATTATCCGGCAAGTTTCGACCCGTGCACCATTAATACATGGAAATTTGTTGGTTATCAAAAAGATCAGACACTAGTTTGAAAAGTGGGTGCTAGAAAACTAATAAACTGTGTTTTTGTAGATTTCTTTAAAATATTGGATTTTTGCGGCAGATATTGAATACATTCATATATCTTGTTGAGTTTGTTACACTTAATCTAGCTTGACATTTTCTCCGTTAAGCTCTTGAGCACTTCATTTTTGCTACAGGTACTTCTCGTATGAACATTTTTACGTGATATATTGCAAGTTTTGGGAGCTTGACACCGATCATGATTTTCTCATTGATAAAGAGAACCTCATTCGATATGGCAACCACGCCCTTACGTACAGGATTGTTGATAGAATATTTTCTCAGGTCCGGGTCTTTCATGTACTGTTTGTTGTTTGCAGTTTTATCTTGCCTGTTTTGAGTTTGTAGCTCTTGTATTCTTAAAAATGCTTGCTCATCACTTCATAAGGAGTTCTATGCTTTAATTTGCTATCAGGTTCCTAGGAAGTTCACCAGTAAAGTTGAAGGGAAGATGGGCTACGAAGATTTTGTTTACTTTATATTGTCAGAGGAGGATAAATCATCAGAGCCTAGTCTTGAATACTGGTCAGTTTCTGAATTGACAGTCAACTTTCTTGCAATCTTTGCACTTTTAATGTGACTCAAGAGTTTGGTTTCTGCTGAGTGGAGATTATGTTACTGAGGAAATTTCCTTGTGAAGAAGCAATTTGTTATAACCACCCTTTCTAATAAATATTAGTGACTGGCGTTGATTGTGGATTCACTTCATGTATTGTGCTCTTCAATTCATTGACTCTGGAAGAATAGAGATGATGGTGGAATGTTTCATAAATTAGATATTTCTCTGGAATATACAATTGTCCGACATTTGGTTTTCGAAGATACCTGAAGGCGTTAGATAATGGCATTTAATAATAGTTCCTAACCATAGTATGTTTGAGTAACTTAGATATCATAATTCATAAGGATTCATAAGAGTTCCTTGCAAAAATGCCTACTAATGGGTGCTATTATATGCATATTTAGATTTTGAGATGCATGGAATAATCCTTATAGGGTGCAATGTTGGATTATGATTGAAGCACCTTTGGAACCAAATTGTTATAAGCTTGCAGATGACAATCCAAGCAATTTTTAGTACTCCATCCACCCCAATTTATGAGGCATACGTTCCCTTTCTCATCCCTTTTAAAAAGAATGTCACATACTTATTTTGAAGCATTTTTTTTAACAGGTTTGTGTTGAAGCAATTTAATTTTGAAATCTTCATTTTACCCTTTATAAGATGCTTTTTAGCCAAGCAAATGTCTAATTTTTGTTTTAGATCACAAGTTTCAAAAGTTTTTCTTTCTTATACATTGTGCTCAGTTGAATACCACTACATAAATTGGGAGGATTGGGCATGAGGATCCCAGCAAGTAATGTCATTAAGGGTAAATTGAAAGTTTAAAGTTAAATTGCTGCCGAACATAGAGAAGTGACATTTTTGGGACACACTCAAGGGGGAGTGATTTTCTTTTTTTTTTGATTGTATGTTCATTAATTATCCATAAAGTATCACACAACTTTTGAAGCAGATGATTTGATAACCAAGTAGGATTTTCTATATTTAATTACACTAAAAGCATTGTTGCAACTCTTTTGTTTGTTCACTGTTGAGTGTTGGTGAAACATTATGAAAAATGCACTTAGTTAAATAGCTGCTTCCGTGCTGCTGATCTTGGGTATTTCCTTGTATATTTGTTGCAACCATCAGGCAAACGCTCTTTGATGGGCGTTAGGCTGAGTAGAGTTGTTACAGATTGTTCAATTCACTTCAGAGAAGTAGTTTTTGGGAAGTGTATTGTTATATAATGTACGCACACATGCACTGTTGACACTGATTGTGTTTGTTTGTTATTTTCTTTCTTGATCAGGTTCAAATGCATAGATATGGATGGAAATGGGGTTATAACTAGGAATGAGATGCAATTCTTTTATGAGGAGCAGTTGCATAGAATGGAATGCATGGCCCAAGAGCCAGTGCTTTTTGAGGATATTTTGTGTCAAATAGTTGACATGGTCAGTCCAGAGGTAAATTTGGAACTTTTCACGTTTCCAATCCTTTCTTATCTTGTGTCCTTTCCATGTTGTAATTATTGTTCCATAATCATCTGATCTGTATGTATAATTGCAATGCTTGGACAATTTTTCATACCAAGTTAAACTTTGTGAGTAAGATTTGTCTATATAATCCCTTTGGGTGGGGCGAGAGGTTGTTTTAATTGTTGTTAGATTTGTGTTTCCATTAATGTTTGTTGGTATTAAGTTAAGATTTGTCTATATAATCCCTTTGGGTGGGGTGAGAGCTTTTTTAATTGTTGTTAGATTTGTGTTTCGTTAGTGTTTGTTGGTATTAAGTCACTGTCTTATTGATACACCCACTTTTTTTGTCTGGGTGTTCGGCTGTTTGCTGTATGTTTTCTTTAATTTGTTTAGAGGATTTGTATGTTAATATTTTTTTTTACTCTGGGTATGTTGTTTGTTGTATATAATAATACTAAATGTAGAGAATCTCAAAATCATTAGTACTGACTACTACCCTAATTGGTTTTAAAGACACATTAATTGAGTATTGAAATGAAATGAGGCCCAGATGGAGCAGAATGAATTTTGAGGATTCATATATTCAACTCCGACTATTCAGAAACTGAGGTGTAGTAGTTGTTGCTATTGTTGCCTTTATGAAAATACAAAGTAAATTCTGTGTATATAAGAATACGAAATATCTATGTGAGAGTTTCTCTAACCTAAAATCATCACTATGATCTATGTGATGATATAACGTCTAACCACGCTGCTATAGACGCCATATACTTTTTTGGGGTATGGAACCTACTACTAAGTGGATCCACTAGTCTATGCTAAATAATTAAGGAATCATCTAAAAAGTATGACCCTTAAACCCACGTTGGCTGCATAATTAATGGGGGTTGTGAGTTGTCTGAACTCTTCCCCATATCAAGTTAGTCATGGTTAACGACTAACTTGAATTTGTTAGATTGTTTGACAAGGTGTACTATATGTTTAAAAAAAAACATGTAGTTTTAATTTGTATCATCTGCTCTTTTTTCCAAGTACAATAACAGATATAATTCAAGTTTCTTTGTTGCAGAATGAAAGCTATTTTACATTACGTGATTTGAAGGGAAGCAGGCTCTCCGGTAGTGTTTTTAACATACTTTTTAACCTCAATAAGTTCATGGCTTTTGAAACCCGCGACCCCTTCCTAATTCGTCAGGTAATTGAAAGGCTAATATATAGTTTATAATGTAGTTCCGGTGTTGCTTGGCTGTTGTTACCAACGGTTGACATGAGTTTATTCTTGTTTCCAGGAGCGTGAGAACCCAAATCTGACTGAATGGGATCGCTTCGCTCACAGAGAATATATTAGGCTCTCAATGGAGGAAGATGCAGAGGATGCCTCCAATGGAAGTGCAGATGTCTGGGATGAATCACTTGAGGCTCCCTTCTGAGTTCTAGTCTGTGAGATAGAATGGTATGGAGAATGCAGTTACTTAGAATAACCTAAGGCTGCATCTACATACATCGATAGTTCTGCCACCCATTATTTTTTCTCATGCCATGTCTCCATCTCTGATCATGCTGTAAAACACTTTGTTCACCGTTGATGCATATTTATTTATGTGGAAGAAAGTCTTATAGTAGCTACTGAGAGTTTGTTGACATTACATAACCGTAGCTGTAAGATGCACGTTTATGGAGTTGCATATACTGTTAAAGCATGCTGTTATAGTAGAAATAGATGCTTTTGCTAAATTACAGGAATATAGGAGAAAAATAAATACTCATGACTGAGCATCAGTATCAAATGCTCTCAAATTACTGAAAATTCATGAAGCAGAATGGTTTGTCATTCGTCACCCAAGGTAATGTGAATTCACTTATAAAAGAGAGATTTTAGGTGGCTCAGGATAGTATCCACATTTTCTTGATTTTTCAGTCGACACAAGGTACATCTATTGTGTTCATGCCACATTCAGGATGCAGTTAGTTTATGTGGCATGTAGAAATTTTTATGACCTGGCCTCTTCCTGCTTGTAGATATATTACCGCTTCTTATTTGATATGTGAGTTAATGTTGGAAATGGCCTCGCACGATTTAATATTGTTTTCTCCATTTGTCAAGCAGCCTGACCTTATGCTGTTCTTTCTTCAGCCAGGTGTGCCTATTAGCAAATCTTGTTTCAAGCTGGCTATTGAGTTGCAAAGAGTTAGTTTGCACGGAACAGTCAAGTGGGACAAGCTTATCCGTGTGTGTCACCAAGATGTTATTATGAGATAGCCGAGGAGGAAATGTTTGTTTGAACTGCATAGAGTATGCTCTCATGAAGTATAAGGGCATGCTAGTGTTGGAAGCTCCTGACTTGAAACATCAAGGGCTTTGCAAGTGCGCCGATTGGTGATAGATGATTAATGAAAAACTAGATTCCAGTAGTTCATAACTTCGCTCCACGCTTGTTCCCTCTTTAGCTGTACCAAGTCCATATTTCTTATTTATTTGTTCTAGTGCCGATTTTTGGTGGTTGCAAATACAGTTTTTCTTGAAGAGGTTTAGTATGGCTAGTCCCACAGCCCATGTGGATCAGCTTTTTGCTCCTTCTATTATTCTTTTGTGGATTAGACTCTTCTTTTAGTGGCATGTGAATCATGGTAGTTCTGTATTGACTGTGTAATGATATATGGCTTCCCTATTTCTGTCAGCCTTTCTAATCTGATGTTAGAGGTTGGATACATACAGTTAGTTGAGTGATGGTATTTGAACAGTTAACAGGCCATCAACACATCTGCATCGAGATTACTGTTGTAAAATAGAAACAATCTCTCTACCCTACAAAGGTAGGTGTAAGGTTTGCACAGATTCTACCCTCTCCAGACTCCATCACATTGAGTGTGTTGTTTCACTATAGTAAAAACTCATCGACATCGTAAGGAGGTTGAATTATCAAGAGATCCAAGTTTAAACTTTGAAAAATAGCGAGAATTGTGTTTTGAAGCTTGCAAATTAAGGTTTAGGTTAAGCTTTATCACATGTCAAGAAGTAAACTGGATGTTTAAATTTGGCTAACATATCAATTAGCCAAATAACATAGAATAAGCGTTTTATGTAACATGGTTCATTGAAGCGCTAAGTTTATGAATGAACAAAAAAATCGTCTTAAGATTTGCAATATAAAATAATTTTTTGGTATTTATGTGATGATAAATAATTTCATAAAAGTAAGTAAGAGTTTTAAAGTTTAATTTATTTGTAAATATGGAAAGACAATATTAACAAACTTAAAAATAGTGTATTGAGTCAAAAAAGGTTTTTAATTAAATATAAATATTAGTAAACAGCTGACTAATCATCTTACTGGTCCTAATGTTTTTATAATGGGTTTGAATTAGTCGAGTTACTTGCGGACTAACTTGATTAATCGATTAATATTTTTATAATAAATTTGAATTATTCGCAGGCTCACTTGGTCGATCGACTCAAGGAACGGAGACGTCACAAAACTCGAAGAAAATCCACGCAATGTTTTTTATTCTCACTCTTTAGTCAAACAAAGAAAGACAAAATAAACTGTCCTCTCTTTTTCAAAAACCCTACTTCGCCGGCGCTATCTTGTCGGAGAAGTAGACTGTTACTGGCCGGAGGCGGTGTTAAACAATATGAAAGTCGTTGCTTTAGTCAGTGGTGGCAAGGACAGTTGCTATGCCATGATGAAATGCATTCAATATGGTCACGAGGTTCTCAAATTTTGTCTCTTTGCCTAAGTGTTTGATGATTTCGTCGCTTGTTATTGTGCTCTTATTCTGGTAATTTTCAGATTGTTGCGTTGGCCAATTTGATTCCTGCTGATGATGCAATCGATGAGCTTGATAGCTACATGTATCAAACAGTGAGTTTTTTTTCTCTTCATTTTCTCTTTAAATGCTGAAAAAGGATATGGTGACACTTTTGTGAGCAGGAGCGAAGCTAGCATTTGGTTATGAGTTCGTCCAAAAAAGCTAGTAACTTTGGTCCAAACCTTGTACAAATTATTACTCCCACTTTCAGTTTGTTTGTCTTAATTTTCTCCATTTCAAAAAGCATATGTCTCTTTCTTTTATTTGATCAACTCTTTTATTCTAACTTTGCCCACCGCATGTTTTAAGACCGCAAGATTCTAAAGTCTATTTACTTTCTTACACTTCGTGCGAAGTTAAAATCAGCAAACGAAATCCAATCAGAATAATCTACTGCCTTACTGGAATCAGTATAATAGTAATAAGACAGCTGAAGAGAGGATGACGTAGACAAGAATCAACAAATTAAAATGGAGTAATTTAGAACCTTGTAACTTTAGGATTAGAATCCTGAATGCATAAACTTCAAATTTTGTCTCCTACCCTGCCTCTGCTTTTTAAGTCCCAACATATTTTCTATATGCATAACCTTCAGAGGATCTGTTATAGTTGGATTATTTTGTTGAAAAGGTGTTGAATTAGAGAAGTTCATTGTATATGAATGTGAAAATGGAACTAATGCTTAAGGGGAACATCCTTCTTGCAAAACTCAATCTGATTGAAGTTTATCAAAATGAAAAAAAAAATGATCTTTTGGTTAGTTATAAGCTGCTATATCTGGATGATAAAATGAGAGGATGTCCCCTTAATGGGTTGTCGATAGGCAGCAATAGATGAGATTGAAACAGTCAGAAGGTTCACCCCTCACCCGGGTGGACTGGGGAGTTGAGACTTCCTTGCTCTTTTTCTTTGAGATAGTTAACATTTTATAGACAACAATACACCAACGGTTTATTTCAGTAGTAATTACATCAAGAGTATACAATACGCAAAACCAAAAGATATATCATCTACACCCCCTCTTAAACTATCTAAAAAGTGAGTAATAGCCTCCACCTCTTTGGGAAGGACATGGATACACCAAAAATAGAGGGTTATAAGGCAGTTCAACTTCAAACTCTTGAAAGTGATGCTCTTGTTTTTGAAGCTACTCTGCTTCCTTTCCTTCTAAATTGTCCACTAGATGCAAGCAAGGACAATCTTTCACCTTTCCTTGTGACCTGATGTATTCCTTTCTCTATTCCAGCATGCTAGAAAATCTGAGGTGTGTCTTGGCATGGACCAACTGATTCCCCTCAAATTCAAAAAGTCCTGCCATAGTTTCTCTGTCACTCTGCAAGGAGGAAGAGATGTTTGTTGTCTCTTTTTCTCTTTCACAAAAAAAGCACCTGGAGCATAACTTTCTTTCCCTTTTCATTTGATTGTTCGGAGTTAGTACTGCTTCCCTAGCTACCAACCAGGTGAAACAAGCCACCTTGTGAGTTACATTAATTTTCCATATCATCTTCCAAGGTCATGGTAGAAACACTTCAGCTGGCATGTCAAGATGTCTATAAGCTGATTTTATTGTGAACTTCCCATTGTTGGCCCTCGACCATTGTAAACTATCCTCATTTGTGTTAAGGTTGTTTGCCTACTCCAAGGACTTGTGGAAATCTGCTAATTTGTCTATTTCCCAGTCATTCAACCTTCTCCTAAAAGATAGATTCCATCCTTGGTTGTCTCTGACTTCTGCTTCTACTGTTGCTTCCTTCTGTTGGTTCAGATTATAAATCTCAGGATGCAACTGTTTCAGGGAGTATTGTCCAACCCACACATCATTCCGGAAGAATGTCTTCCTTCCATTTCCTATATCAATTTTTGAATTTCCCCATATTTTAGACCATAAGTTCCTGATTGTTCCCCATAAACCAACCCCATAAGGGCTTCTATCTTCCTCAGTAATCCATAAGTCGTCCATTGCAAATCTGGAGATTATAACATCTTTCCACAGACCTTGTTCTACAGAAGCAAACCTTCACAGTTACTTCAAGATGAGACTCTGGTTTTGAACTTTGAGATTTTTTATGCCCATTCCCCTTCTTTTTTTGTTGTTTAACACCTCATCCCATTTCACCTAGTGATATTCCCCCTCTCCATTTGCTTGCCATAAAAAGTTTTTCCTAATGGATTCTAACTTCTTTAAAACACTCCCTGACATAGGGAATAAAGACTTCATGTAGGTTGGCATAGCATCAAGCACACTATTAATTAGTGTCAATCTTCCACCCAAGGATAGGTATTGGCTTATCCAATTTACCTGTATTTTTTCACACTTCTCCACCACTGCATTCCATATGTTCTTTGATTTACTGTTTGCTCCTGCATCCCTGGTAAGTGATAGGCATTTCTCCCACTTTACCTCTATGATGCCAGCTAGTCTGTTGATATCTGGGACTTCATTCACGGGGTAGACAAAACTTTTGCCCCAGTTTATATGTAGTCCAGAGACAGCTTCAGACAATATAGATATGATCCTTAGATGCTTTAGTTGTTCTTCCTCTGCACCACACTACACTAGGGTGTCGTCGTCATACTGCAAATGGGAGATTGATAAGCCCCTGGTGGCACTATCATTCATCCAGAACCCTCTTATCATGTTATTTGATTGTGCTGTTTCAACGTGTCACTTAGTCCTCCCATAGCTAGTATAAAAAGGAAGTGGGAGAGGGGATCCCCTCGCCTTAATCTTCCTTCAGAGGGAAAGAAACCAGAGGGGTATCATTTAATAAAATTGAGAATTTGACTGTTCTCTCACTGTACTTCAACCTTTTTATCCACCTATTTTCAAAACCCATCCTATCCAGTGTTTACCACATAAAGTCCCAGTTGAGGTGATCATCGGCCTTTTCTATCTCCAACCTACATAGAATTCCAGTAACTTTAGTTATTTTCCTCACATCTACACATTCATTGGCTATAAGTATGGCATCCATGATATGCCCACCCTTGATGAATGCCAATTGATGCGTATTCACCAGCTTTGACATCACCTTCTTGAGACTTCCTTGCTCTTAGGCCTGCTGTAAGGCCAGTAAGATCAGGAAGAAGGGGATTTGGTTCTTTTTTTTCTTCAGACTGACTCTAAAGTCTAATCGTGATTTTAACTCTATTATGATACCTCCCTCTGTCGCAATAGAAACCAAGAATGGAGGTGACTTTGCTACACTTGTTTATAGTTGGAAATTCCACTCGAAGGCCCTAATACTACTGACTTTGTCCATATGAAACCAAGAATGGAGGTGACTTTGCTACACTTGTTTATAGTTGGAAATTCCACTCGAAGGCCCTAATACTACTGACTTTGTCCATGTCATATATATACCTCTAGATGCATTGGGTTATTGATGCGATCATTTGATGATTGAAGATTCTAAAAGGAATGAGTGTACACCTAAAGTTACAGAGAGGACCTAACTAAAAGCAAAATGCAGGTGAAGTAAATTATCTCTATAGACGTTAATAATTGTTGAATTGGTCAGTGTAACACTTACAGCATGTCTAGTATTTTTCAGGATTCCTTTTATCCTGGTTAAACTTGTATGTTTCTGTTGCAATAGTATGAGACTGACATAGAGAATCCAACATTTGCATAAAAGACAAGTTAGTTAGTATTGGAACGATAAAACCTGAATGCCGAGAATTCATATAGCCACACCTGAACTAATTTCAGGTTGAGTTATAGTTTATTGATCCTCTTTCTAGCATCTTGATGTCTCCCATCAACTAAGGGAAATTTCCTTTCTTTTTTTACAAGAATTCTGATCATAAGTTCTGTTAATAAGAAAGATAAGTTATATTCTCCTCCTCTCTTTTATACCATGTTTTCATTTAAATGT